ACGTGAAGGCTTTCTTGTGATATGAAATGCTCTCCACAACATGAAGGTTAGCTGTGGCTTGGTCTACTTGCTGCGGGCTGTGTAGTAACAATACGCTGCTTGTGTTTCACAACCTTTAAATAATAACAGATTATGAAATGTTTCCTACAGATACTGTGTGATTTATAGTTGTATAACTGGGGAATATTTTACTATGATACTGACAAACTGGACTGGAAAAACAACTACTGGTTTCAATGGCTGCTCTGTACTCCCCTGAGTTGGCGCCCCACTTTTACTGCTAACTTTCTCCTAACTTTTCCAGAGCCAAAGGCAGCTGGATCCACATCAGGTTCTCATCAAATGAGACTGCTCCACATTTCTTTAAGTTTCTCCCCCTGTCATCTCCTCTTATGATCAGAGGGAGACTGACTGGTTTCTCATGACAAACCTTTACGAGTGAATGTCGTCATTTCAAAGTTTTACAGCTATCGATTTATCATTATTATGTTTTCATGATGCTTATGTAACAGGAGAGCATCCTGGTCGTCTTCTTCCTTGCTGTGTCAGATCCTAAATGGTGGTTTTGATATAAATTCAAAAGCTGTTGTCTCACTGGTCTCTTCTCCTCCTCTTCTACAGCTGTATGAACTGGATAGAGACCCGAAGAGAAAAGAGTTTCTGGATGACCTTTTCAGCTTCATGCAAAAACGAGGTATGTTATTATGTTCGTTCAGTGTCTTACCATATTATAGGTCATATCTCCAGCCAGAGTCTCACATACATTTTTTCTGTAAACAATGTAAATCGTTTCCATTATAATTACAAATGACAAGAACAAGCTATTTTCTTCTTCTTTCCTCCTTCACCCAAAGCGACAAAATGTGATATAATTCCAACGCGCAAGCAAAAAAGAAACAACAAATCATCAACAAAATACAAACAAAAAATAAAAAAATAAAACATAATGCGCTCCAACTATTACATTGCTATTCAATGGTATCTCTATTCTATATTCTAAGGAATGTAATAAAGGGTTTCTTCAAACACATTTCTTTTATCTTCTATAATAGCATACATGAGGCCATTTTGCTAAGCTATTATTAACTTGCATGCTGTTTTCTACCAATATAGAGCAATATATACTGGCTTGCAATATACTTGGTACGGTTTAAAATCGTTCTTCATGTTTTTAGTTTGGATTTCAAATCTAAATCTTATGTTGGTCAGGGTCCTCTACAGCGGTGATTCTGTCCATCCCATGTTCTATTTCTATCCAGAACTCCATTGCGTACAGAGATGCTTAATAGTTGAATATGAGGGAGGGATGACCCCCCTCCACTCCTCTCTCTGACATACGACACAGACACGTCTTATCATCTTTCACTCACATGGGTGGGGTCTTTATTCGTTTCGGAGATTATTGCTTTATGGTTAGGCAGCCCCTCGTTCCTTCCCAGGCTATAACTAGAAGGAACGCATCGTATCGATGCCTGGGAACAGATTGGTTTACCTTCCTCTCCTGCTGCTCATCCGCCAGCCCTGCACACACAAACACACTCTCACTCACACACACTGACTCACCAACCATGCAGGATGTTCACTATGGCGACACAACCAACATAAAAGCTCATTTCTAATTGTGCAATATTTTATTTACATGTCATGGCCAATGACTCATTTCAGGTGTTCCTTCTCCCATAATACTCAAGCAGTCTGATTTATATGACAAGTTGATTTATGGCTGATATAATCAGATCAGTGGGGCGACGACTGACATGAGAGACATGAGACAGACACGTGCTCGCAACTGATACAGTACTACATGTTTACAGTGTCAGAGCCAACAGCAATGGGCGGATCTGCCAAGCATGATCTGAGAATATGAGAGCGCCATCTGCAGGTCGTACCTATAACTGAGGCATCACTCTTTAGTATGAACATCTAGGGTCGATCATATTTTGGGTCGAAGTGGACCTGAAGATTGTGTTCGGGGTCACTCTGTGTTTAAATGAATATCATTTGATGGAAAGATTAATGAAGTGAATGATCTTCCTAAGTAAAGGGCATTTGTCACAGATTAATCCGAAACTGGAGATACTGATTGTCCCAAGGCAATTTGTCTCATACTTGGTTTGTCATTAACTTTCATTCACATCCTTTAGAAGACAAGATTGTCAGGTTTGCAAATGTCCCCAAGACAAATCCTGTTTTATATTTTTGATGAAACAGTACATATTTAAACTGTTCTGTCTACTGAAAAGGATGTATCGAAATCGAAAGATGCATCAAAATGAAGGGCCATCACTTTTCCAGTACACCATACTTTATTCCCCAGAAATGTTTGGATATCTCGCCCTCTGGTGTCTAAGTATGTTTCCTGTATCTTATTATAATCCATTTGTCCATCAGATGACTGCATTTTGATACATTTGTTGACCTGTACTTCAGTCTACTCCTTGCTATGTGTGTGTCTGCCAGTTAAGAAAATTCGATCAAAAGATCCTCCTGCCTTTTTGTTAGTATAGGAAAAATAGTAAAAGCTCTTTTCAAGCATGTCAATTTCCAACTATTCCGAACAAAGATCACTGTGTGTTTTTGTGTTATTACAGGAACGCCAGTGAATCGTATTCCCATCATGGCCAAGCAGGTCCTGGATCTGTACATGCTCTACAGGCTGGTGACAGAGAAGGGCGGCCTGGTGGAGGTCATCAACAAGAAACTGTGGAGAGAGATCACTAAAGGACTCAACCTGCCTACCTCAATCACCAGTGCAGCCTTCACCCTACGCACACAGTCAGTACAAACACACACACACACACACACACACACACACACACACACACACACACACACACACACACACACACACACACACACACACACACACACACACACAAACACAAACACAGGATCACACCTCTGGTTGTTTTAATTGGATCTGTGTTATTTGTGTGTTTGGTATATTTGGATCCACACTGGCAGTGACAAGCCATAAGGGCCTATTATCAAAGTGAACAAAAGAGTGCAACAGTGACGCGTCCTTGACAGACATTTAAGAGACGGATCACGTTTTGTTCAGTCGGATAATATCCACATGTCTACCCTACTTTTATAATTTTCTATTCATAAATGTATCGATCATAAATCTATCGATTAGATTTATGATTTGAAAATTATAAAAGTAGGGTAGACATGTGGAGATTATCCGACTGAACAAAACGTGATCCGTCTCTTAAATGTGTGTCAACCACAGACCTTATTTTGAGCTATTTTCCAAAATCCTAAGGAGAAATTGCATTGCTTTTTTGTCGAAGGAACCCATGCGCAGCTTACTTCCGGGTTTTAGGACGCGTCACTGTGGCACTCTATTGGCTTATTTTTAACAAAATGCTTTTGTCCATTACTCTCATTCCTATAACCAGTTTTCTACTGCTCAGCGATTTCAATAACTCCTTCTAGTCACTCTCTGTAGTTGGTCCATATTGCAATGTACTTCGTTACATTTTGGAAACCTATCAGAGAAAAATTGTTGATATAAAAGAAGCAGAGACCATCGGTCATACAAGTGGGTTAGCCCACTCAAAATAGTTTTTTCCAGACAATCTTTCACCAACAAAAATGTTGAAGCTTTATACTGTATGTATGTTATAGGAACTAATTGAATTTTCAGCAGTAGGTTAAAGCTTGGCGCATCCCTGCATTAACAGGCTTTTAGTGAAACATAAATACATTGTACTCCTTTCAGATACATGAAGTACCTGTACCCATATGAATGTGACAAGAGGAGTCTGAGCAACCCCAATGAGCTCCAGGCAGCCATCGACAGTAATCGGCGGGAGGGCCGGCGGCAGAGCTTTGGCAGTTCCCTCTTCACATACTCGCCCAACGGGACCCCTACAATGCTCTCCTCGCCCAAACTCCCATCAGCCAGCGTTGGCCTGACGATGGGCACCAACGGAGCCTCGCTGATCCATAACCACAAGATCAAGCAAGGTGAGATTCGTTTAGAAACTCACATGATGTGTGATGTTTAAAGACTTTGGAAGGATGAAAGAATATATTTTGAGTGGTAAGACTCAATTACTCTATTTTGCATGACTGGGGATAGTTATTTTTTAAGTTAGGAAAACTAAGTAGTCCTCATCCTTACCATTTAACAGGAATGGACTTGCTGTCCTCTCTTCTGTAAGACATCTTAAACACTAACATACTATCTCAGATAGGCTGTTTTCATATAAGTGTGTTTATGGTTTATATCTTGCCTGGATAACACATCATGTTTAGTACTTTTTCAATCAAAAATAACCCTTCTCCCCTTCTTTGTGGTGTCTGGCTAGAAGAGGACGTAGGCCACTCACTGATGGGGCTCAGTATGGCTCGTCTGTCAGCGGGGGCGCTGCAGGGGAACACGATGGGGGTGATGCAGGCGGCGGCCGCTCAGGCGACAATGGCCGCTCAGATGGCGGCTCTGGAGCAGCTCAGGGACAAACTGGATGCCGGAGAGCCACCAGAGAAGAAGATGGCGCTGCCGGCAGAGGAACACCAACGACTGCTGCAGAGAGCGCTGCAACACAACCTGCTGGCCATGACCGCTCAGTTACCCATGAACATCCGCATCAACAACCAAGGTACTGACTGAGGTGGAGCTTCTGATACATTCAGTCAAACTAATCATACAGTCAGACGTGGTTTTTCATATTACATGAGGAAGCCTGTGGTTCACTGGTGAAATTCTTCCACTTTCTAATCATATAAAGATAAAAGTTGAACTAGCCTTCCTAAATCTGCTTTACCCATAAGAATAAATGGTTGACTACACTTGATTCAATATGCAATAAAATCAAAGTACTTCTCTTTTTGCACTTCTCGCTACTTTTACGTTAAATCATGAATTAAGACCAGTTTGAGAACAATATCATTATTGTATTAATTGAATCTAATGAATCAACTAGTAATTCAGTACTTTTACTTCTACTTGAGTGAATCCACCACAGCTTAAATAAATACAACGGTAATTTCTTGATAGCTGATAAAAGTAGAAATCATCTTTGGTCTGACAACATAATAAAATTGTAGCTCTGTTATATTAAAAAAGGGTTAATGCTTTGCCATATTTTTCCGTCAGACTGAACGTTTGCAGCAGATACGTACAGGGGGTATTGGTTCAACAGACATCAATATATACAATTAAACACATAAGAATACCATTTTATCCCCTGGTGATTAATGACATTGCCTCAGGGCAACATGTGCATGGATAAAGGAAGAAAATCCATACTCATGTATTAAGAATTAACATAATCAATCGGCACAAAGTATGATCTTCCAGACAGATCTACCTCAGAACAACATTTTAAAAGAATCCACAATAATGGAAGAAGGTGCATATCAATAATACCACATCTGCTGTGGATTTTACATTTCATTGTTTTTCCTTAGAATTTACACAAGCTGGATTCTACACCCTCTCCCACTTCCTGGCAGTTAGTTTCTCAAGCCATTGTTGTCATCTCACCACACACCACAGCAGCCGACAGGGAGGAAGTAACCCACAGCAGGCCTATATGTTGACCTGTTTAGCTTATAGGAGCAGCATGCATACATACAGTGCATGAGTGTGTGTGACTGAGCGGGGATTCCCTTCTGCCGGCTGACACTTTGATCTTATAGCCGAGTTTCCTTGGTTACTGTCTATCTGATTGAGCACGCAAACAGTTTCTCAGTACTGATAATACAGGTGACTTCAGAGGAATTTAAAGGTTTTGCAAGTTCACACACAAAGTTCCAACTTTGAATACCCAGATGTAAAAAAAATAGCACACATAGATCTTGAAGATAAAGTTCACTTAATTAAATAGCACCAATTTATGTTGGCTATATCAAACAATCAATGCCTGTTGGCGCTGTTGGTTTTGGACAGTTGAGGGAAGTCAACTCTGGACTGCTTCTACAAGAACATTTAATGGCCGAAATATTGCCTAGAATTTTCATTCAGGATTTGTTGTAATGGACGTACAAATTCCCAGTTTTAATAGCAATACATTTTAATCAAAGTTCCTATAAGGGGGAGGCCAGGTTGGACAGATAGGTAAACATATGTCAAACAGTAGGCCAATGAAGGAGCCTAAATGCAGTTTATTAGTATAAGTAAATAGCATGCAAAAAGATAAGTTACATTACATTGCATTTAGCTGACGCTTTTATCCAAAGTGACTTACAATAAGTGCATTCGACCAAGAAGATACAAACTTGAAGAAAACAGAATCATATGAGTACATCAGGTTTCATAGAGCCAAAACATTTCAAGTTAATATGTAAAACAACATTGATTGTAAGAAACTTATTTTGAAGTACAAACTTCAGCTAGAATACATCACAAACATACCTACTTTAACCAGAATTATGATATTTTCTTTGTTTAACATATTGTAATTTTAGCACATCTTGTGCCACCATCATGTAATGGGGTGTAATTGTTTTGTTTGTTTGTCTCCCTCACAGAGAGCAGGCAGAACTCGGCCCTGAACCTCACCACCAACGGCACAGGCAGCATCAGCATGTCAGTGGAGCTCAACGGCGTGATGTACACCGGTGAGTAACACTGTCATGTGGCACAGGGATCCCTGCTTATCACTACATAGTAAATATAAACTATAATTTGATATACCATCAGAAAATAGGGCTGTACCAAGGAGTGCAAGCTTCATTCATAAGGTTGACTTTATTTCTGACTCAAAAAGACAGAAATAAATTAAATGTATATACCAATATAACAAATCTCTCTTTAAATGTGTTGTCATGGGTTGTTAAAGACTAATTGTAAGACCTTAATATAGATTAACATTTACAATTCAGTACAGCCCTTTCAGGGACATTCATTGAGTTGATCAGTATTTGTTCAGATAAAGACTGGAAACTGGAAGAACGTGTTTCTTTTTAGCCTTGTACAAAAAACAGATCACAAAGGGGAAGTGATCTGTTGTAAATATTTCTTGTTGTCACTGTATGATTGTCAGGTTTTGTAAAAGCAATGGCGTCATTTCAACTTTATGAAATTCTCTTGGTTTCCCAGTCTTTTGTTTAATTTCATGTCGAGTTTCGTTGCTGAAATATATTCTGTATTTTGAACCGTATTTTTCTTTTAATCTTTTCTGTGCAGGCGTTCTTTTTGCTCAGGCAGCAGCAGGGGCAGCTTTGTCCGGTGCAGTCGGATCGTCCGTCTCCAACAAGATGGTCAGCAGTCGTGTTGCTCCAGCGCAGCACCAGAACACACCTACCTCAACCTCAAGCAACCCGTTGTCTTAACAAACCCCAGCCTTTTATTTTTTTTACCACGCTAAGTAAAGCCAAAAATCAACCTCATTTTCTACATAATCTATGCCAAAAAGAGAAGAACCATAAACTGTACAGAGACTCAAACTGAAACTCAGATCACTTGAATTACACTATCTCAGGTTTTCTCTCATCAACTCACCTCTTTTGTTCTTCATAGCCAAAATTATTTCGGGGAAAAAACAAAGAATATCTCAACTGAGAACCAGTATATGCTAAACAAATATGTATGCACAATCTGTGAATTATTTATTTCTGCATAAATGTACAGATTATTGGAGAACAAAAGAGAAGGTAATAACCAGGAAGGGTAATGCACTGTTTACACACAAACACAGCTACTGATTGACAGCAATGTTTTATCCTCTAGGGGTAGATTCTTTTATTTTATTTTAACTTTTTGTTGTTATTGTTATTCTCTTTACTGTGTTTTATCATTTAATTTTAAATCTTTAACAATCCTCTCACTGCAGGAAAAAAATATATTTAGAATTATATTAAAAAAAAAAAAGATAATATGAATATTCTCTATTTTTAATCAGAAAAGCTTTTAAGGTATATGTTTTCTTCAGGGCATATAACAATGTACCATTGTGACCTCATTTTGTGTAAAACCTTTTTCGCAAGGCAGCCATTTTGGATCTCTATTAGGGAGATTGCGGTCACTCCTGTTGTGTACCGAGATACACATCATATTAGTGCACAGATTCTCCAGTGAAACAAAAATGTAAAACGCATCTCAAGAGTGGTTACAATGCTACATAGCTAATGAATGCTCTGAAGCTGTCATGCTTCTCCCGTTACAGCTGGATAATGTTTTTATCTAAAACCTGCTTGTTGACATGAGGCCAGTTTAATGTATACTGTATCTGTGCCAATCTTGCAGGTATTTTGTGAGTTAGCTTTGAGTTCAAAATGGCTGTTTTGTAAGAGTAAGGTCAGTTCTGCAGGCGGGGATATGAACTCTTAGCCTTTCTTTTACCCTCGCCGCAGCTAACACGCTGGACTTTCGGAGCCTCAGTAGCGTCCACATAGACTGTTGCTGTTCGGGGTTCAGATTGTATGTGAATAATAACTATTTTCGACTGCTCTCAGGTGTCTGATGCTCATCGCTTTGTACAATATCTTGACAAAGCCAGAGCAATGCTTTTCAACATCTTTCTCTGCAGAAAGATCGATTTTCATCTTCTTGTTTTTCTTACTTGGCCTTCTAGTGAAGTGATTGTCTTAAGGTCATATGCATGCCTGTATTTGTAGATGAAGCCTTTCAGCGATCAGGAATGAGGCAGGAAAACTGTGGTTTTGTGAGTCGTGTATCCACTAAATCCCTATCATTGTGGAGACACTTACATGGACAATCAGGTGTTATTTTAGCTTAAATCTGATTTGTTGTTGTTGTATTATAGTTAACAGATGCTTTTATTTTTATTTCAGCTTTGTGTTTTGCATGACTTAGTGCTTCTTCTGATCCAAGTCCTTCTAATCCTGTGCTGTGACAGGGACCAGGTCTCCTTGAGACTGGCTGTCAAGGATATTACAGAGAATGTCTTGTGATCCTTTGACTGTTTTTAGATGTTGTTTAATTAGGGCTTTGACAATGTGATCTCAGAGGTAATTGTAGCTGCAGCTGAGCACCCGCTTGTGTCTTAGTGTTTCTATCAACACTTGCTGCAGTGAGATTTGTAAAAAGTTAAATCCGCCAGTGAAGATACCATAACATTCATGTAAAGTTGTGTTTTTGCCATTTAAAGTAGATCAATCATTCAGCTTTTAGAATTGTAACCTGTGCTACCTCTCTGGACTGTTAAATATTGTTACTCTACTCCCACCAAAAGCAGCCTCATTCCTACTGACGTTAGGAAGTAAATCAGGCTTTGTATGTGGGTTCTGTTCTAAGGCCTTAACACAGCATGAGAGGACCAGAGAGTCAGCAGTACCTCCGTCCAATCACTTTTTACTGTTCCAGTCAAATATCACCAGATGGCTGTTGCGGCTTTGATTTTGGACACGCCCCTCAATGGGAAATCACCACCAGCTGCTACACAAACAGACTAGTTTTGAAAAGTACTCTCCATTCTCTGACCGCCAACAACTCTCTTTCAGAGTCACATACAATAATTAAATGTTGTCTTTAAGATGGTAAAATAGTGAGGATTGTCTTTTGTCAAAGGTAGAGCTGGAAGCAGAGACAGGATCTCATTGGTTGATCTCAACGAAGTGGAAAACCACAGACTTTATTTACAAGCCTTTTTGCCTTTATTAAAAATAAACTAACTGTTGACATGACCGATGATAATGAATATTCCACTTTTACTCCGTCAACATTTTGAAATGTAAGCTTTTCTTTTGAGCATGCCTCTCTTTCTCAGTTTGTATTCAATGATCTTAAGCTGGCAAAATACCATGTGTTGCAAACTGCAGAAGATCCCAAATTGGGACGCATATTCTACATTTTGCTGTATGCGTATCTGATGCTAAAAGGCAGAATAATAGCACAGTCAAACATGTCTAAATCGGAAATTGCTACATTGGGAATAAGGCTTAGTGACCAAAGAGTATTACGGGTCAATAGTGTCACCACCTACAGGAAGAAAGTGCTCCTGCTGCATAGTTTCCGTTTTGCTTGTCAGTGTTTTTGAGGTTTACATTTGTGCACAATGGCATCTCAGCTCCCCCAGCCAAGGCCTTGCAACACACACAATCACGCACACACACTACACAGGACTGAGGCAGAGGACGCTGGGGTCGTCACACTATAAACAGACGTTTGAATAACATTGGAGAATTATGCGGCTCACTAACCTTTAATGGCTATTTAATAATATTGTGTCCGCATGTGGCTGTTTGGCATTAACTGTTAGCTGTTAATCATAAATACAAAATAAGAAAAGTATAGTTTGACTACTCAATAGCAAAAACTTTGTATTTCAAGTGTGATGAGAAAGCTTGTTTGAAATGCAAAAACCTCAAACACTCAAAAACGCCTTTTCGCACTATTATCAGTCTAATGCTACTCTTTAGATCCAACCAACTACAGTCAACTCAACAGATGAAATCATTTTTAGATTAAGATTTTGGATAAGGAATCATAGCCCATGATTGATTAATGTTCTGGTTCTTTATGTAGATTTGTCACAGATGAATTTGTATTCCTACAGTACAAATGTACATATCAAACAGGCAGTGCCATCTGGCTTCTTCTTAGCATGCAGCAGGCATATCTGATGTGTGTCTTTATTCTCCGTTATTGTTTAAGATATGGCTATTGAATTATTTATATGCATAGCAAGCTCAATTACCAATATTTTAGAGCATCAAAAAAGTTTGTTTGATTCCAGAAAACTGGAGAAAGTAGATTTAAATTTAAGTAAAGGCTTTTTCACCAGCTACCTTATAACTTTTATAGGGATAAAGTATGATGTCAAGAATTCCCATTCTGGTCTTAACTCAGTTTTCATTACATTACATTACATTGCATTTAGCTGACGCTTTTATCCAAAGCGACTTACAATAAGTACATTCGACCAGGAAGACACAACCTTTCAGTTAGTTTCTCCTCGATTCCCCCGTTAAGGCAACTGTTAATTTCATAGATTACAATGTAAACTGATGTTTTTACTTGGTCAATTTGGTAACACGCAGAAGTCTCAGCATGCCTCTCTCTCTGCGTGAGTAGCAGATGTCACAGTTACTGGTGATGGCTGACAATCAAATAGAGACATGCTGTGGTTGAAAGCATTAGTGTAGGGGGGAGGGCCGCTCGAGAGAGCACAATTAAATCAATACTGATCTAAAGGATCAACTGCTTTCTTAGGTTTTTGACCCTATGACCTTTTGACCCCCGAGGCAACATTCAGGCACCTGCCCCCTTCAATGGATCCATGTTTATCGTATAAATCTATTGTCTCCCTCTCTGGGATATTTGCATATGAACAGTGGAGGTACGGCAGCTCTCTGTCTTTCTTTCTGTACTGTATGTGCACGGCAGGTCTTGCGTGGTAGCGACAATCAGGAGACATTAACACTGTATACCTCCAAACACTCTGACATCCCTTCAACCACACAGAGCCCGCTTCTACCTCAAGAATAACAAAGCCTTGGCTTCAGCCAAAACAGACTTTTCAAGGTTGTGTTCAAGCAGAAAAACCTCATCAAAACGATATTGATGCTGGTTATTAAGTACTATGAAAGAGGTTGTAATGACCACAGACAATACGATATAAGATATAACTTTTGGTTATGCAAGGGAAGTCAGAGATGTTAGTACAGTTCAGGGTTCAGTTCAAGCTTCATCTTCTTTACTGAGCGCTCCCCTCAGTGGAAGGTTTTGTTATGACGCACTATCAGTTCACATTTCCTAAAGGGAAAGGCAAAAAAGGTCTGAGCTAAGGCTGTGAAGATTTATTGTCCTTCATTGTGGACATTTGCTGCAAACAAAGGACATATTTAAGTGTTAATTTCTTCATTTCACTACTTAGGGTTTTCTTTTTTAAAGTGACAAGGCCTCATCACTGGACACATTAAGGCTCCACTGAAACAAACTATTTTAGAGGCATTTAATTACAGAATGTGTTTACTTATTTAAACCAGTAAACAATCAATAATCAAACATCTTGCTTGTTTCTCTTTGCTGGGGTCAAACAGGTTTCTCCATAATTTACAAAACATTGGAGCAAAGTAGCTGTGAAAACTATATCAGTCTTAACTCTGTTCTTTACCAGAGTTTGTTCTGAGTCTGGAGAAGAATTTCTATCAGGTTTTATGGTCAGACTGGTATTTATTTCTGAATGCTACCAGCTGCTTTTTATGTGTCTGTAGCCGCTTTGTTTTCTTTCTTCCTTTTGACAAAGTTATATTATTGTGTGGTTATGCAGTTTAAACGCTTGGGTTGATTTCAAAAAGTCTGCTTGTTAGGTGCATTCATGTGCTGTTATACAGATCAGGAAAACAATAACCCCGCCGGACTGATTTTCATCTCACATTTTTTTTTGTCTTGGTGTTTGATTTCCAGTCAATCCAGGAAGGTCGTAAATGTAGTGCTTTACATGGGCTGACTCCCAATCAGCACAAGCCCCTGCAGTCTCTTGTGGTTGGCTTGCTCGCTCTGTCATAACTTTCAAGTGTTTCACCTTGAAATAGTGCTGCTTTTATTCCCACCAGAGCCTAGCTAAAGAACGTCTTGAAACCAGAGTGTCTTGCATGGAAAACGAAAACTCTTGGCTCTTGTTCCCACATGTTGCTGACATGGAAATTCTGCTGGAACATTTACGGGTTAAGGTGCATGTGGGCTTTGGGGGCTTTTGACTCAACATCACCACTGACTTTATCTCCATCAGGGGGACTGTGGACAAGGAAAATTAGAAATAACAAGATGCCTTCTGCTGTGACAATTGTTGTATGAAATAACCTGTATTACTAAGATTCATTAAATAGAATATGTCTGAAATATGGCTTTTTAGGGCTATGCATTATATCATGTTCCACTACCTGTTCTTTCTTTGCTTTTTTTTGGATACGCTATAGCAAACCCGGCACACCGAGATTACTTTTAGAGCAAATTTATTAATATAATGATGATGATGATTAATAATGGGATTATTTTAGGGAAGCATGTGATGTGTGTGTGTGGGCTTCACGTGTCTTCAAGTGAACTGAAACAGGCTATTGTGTCTTACAACTTCTCAGGAAAATCTACCTCTACCTCCAGTTTTATGCATTTAACCCAGTTTAAGTTACAGTTTAGTGAAAGAGGACGTGAGAGCGGACCCAGGTCTGAAATAACTCCAACATAGTATAGTACCTAATATAGCTCATAATGGCACACCTAAGAGTGTATTACATCAAGTATTGTGGTATATTTTTATCCATTTCCTGGCTGTTAACAAATACTCTCAGAAAATATATTTATCACCCTGGTGGGTGCGTGAGAGGTTTATTTTGGAATCTTGGGTCTTTCTCCGTCTCTCTGATTCTCTCTGTGTTACAGGTTGGTAACACTTTAGCTTATTTGAGCATCAACAACAGGGAACCTCCAGTTCAACAGCTTACTAACTACTCAGTAATACACAATAAAGTACTGCTTTTAGTACCACTGTTGGTATTGCCAGTCGTTTTTCAGTCTGTTCTATTAATGTGTGCTTATTCCTCCTTTTTTATAAATGATTTTTTTTTTTTTTTAATGGGATGTTTCCCGGTAACCACGGTAATAGTGAAGTGGCGGCAGGCAATGCAACAGTTTATTTTTTGTTTTCTTTGTTTTTGAAGGGTGAAGAGCTATTATTGCCCATTTACTCAATATGTGTTTGTGTGAAGACTTTTATTTTGAATCTGAAATTAATAAAATATCACCTCTCTTTAATGTCACCAGAGTGAAGGATGTTTTTATTGCGTCTTTAAGATAAGTTACATGAGATAATTTACTATGAAGGTTTTAAGTATTTGTTTAAAATGTGTTCATCATTTAGGCTCCTTAATAACATTGAAAAAGCACCTCATCAGTAATTTTACAAATTATTTTAGTAAATATCCCTTTTTTAGCCACTTATAATAAGCATTCAATTTTACTATGAATTTATAATGTATGGGAGAAGGGGGTAAGTTGAGCCAGTGGGTAAGTTGAACCACCCCCTGTAACCAGGCAACCAGGAGTGGTTCTAGGGGGGGCAGGGGGGGCCAGTGCCCCCCGAACACTGACCTCTGAATTATTATTATTATTATTGCCATTGATAGGAGACATCCTGAATTATAGGTGTGTGTTTTCATTTGTACTATGTGTCATTTCTCCTTGCTGGACAGCATAACTAAAAAATGGCTCAACTTACCCCACTCTCCCCTAATTTACCGATTAGAATTGTCTTGTTGTATTTACTTAAAGGTAAAGCATATTACAAAAATAAACTATCCAAGTTTCCACTGGGAACAAATGTATTCAGATTAAATGTACATTTGCAAGCATTACTTTTAGCATGTTTGACTTTTAGATATGCCATGTTTGCCAATGTCTGTGATGATGTAGCCCTGATAGAGAACAGCAGCTACCAGAATGTACACATGAGCAATGGCCTCACCCATACTATAGTAACAAACACCTCTAGTGTGTGCCATGTTGTTGTATAGGACCAAGTGTAAAAGCTGAAAACACATTTGATTTTAATTGAAAACAATTTGAGATGAGTCCAAAAAATAGAATGTGTGGAACTTTTTGATGATGTGTTTACCCAAAAAAGTGCCATAACATATATTGTAGCGTCACGCTACAGGAACACAGGGAGGCTTAGTTTGTCTATCCGGGAGTTTATTATACAGATCACAGGTTACTGTTGGCCGTAACCACGCCAAAAACAATCCACTAACCCTGTCGTATTCTCACTCTCCGTCACGTATCCCGCTAGCTCTCTCCTAACTTCCCGTGTCTCTCTCCCCAGGAACCTCCCTCTTCCAGCCCCAACCAACCAGACAACTCTCCCACCCTGACACTCTGTAAAATGCAAACAAACTCTGAACAACAAACACATCAACATTATAACCAGTCCGTTACAATATATATATATATATATATTATACATTATATTCGAGAACCTTTTAAAGGGATCTGACCCAACGCAATTCATAAACATAATTACTCTCGAGCCCTGCAACGTGACACCCGCCATAGGTTGACACTGGGGTTGCGGTCGGATAATCCAAAAATCAGCTGTTAGGACATACCTAACGTCTAACCCTATCGTCTATTCCTTGACCTCTGAGTGAAACGTCACGGGGTTAAGGGATAGTGGATAGGAGAATTCAAAAGGACTTAGGAGAAGAGACTGCGGTACTTTAGAGAATCCGACTGCACTTTCACTATCCGACGTGTTTATGATGCGCCAGTGGAGGTCATAAATGTGCGTCTGCTGCTGTGTGGAAACTAGAAACTACAGTTTTCTATACAGCGGACTACAACATGGATGTATAATAAGAACGAGGGACTACTGCAAACTCATCTAGAGACTCTGCACCGTGCTCTGATGCTGTTGTGTTATGCTTTATGAACGTGGACAACAGAGAAACATATTCTTCATGACCAAAGTTGGAATTGAAATAAAAAAGGGAAGTGAAACTTATGCTCGTCGTCACCCTCTCCCTCAGGTCCACATTTATACAAATGATCCCAATACGTATGATTGTAGGAACAATGAAAAGATCTTAAAATCAATACAAATGTATTTATTATAAACGTTAGTCCTTAACGTTCTATAACCGTGTATATTACCATTCAAACATCTTTTAAAAGTTGAACAAACCCCACACAGCTCAGTGAAATGTTGACTTTATTTGATAATTTCAGTGAAAACTAACGTTCATATTTCTCTTTTTGATTATAATACTGATGAACGTTCAAAACAAAGCACTTTGGCAACTTACCGTATACGTTTTAAAATGCTTAATTAAGACCTGGACTCACACCTGACATCATGTCCAACTTCCGGCCCATCTCAAATCTCCCCTTTCTGTCAAAAATACTTGAACGTGTTGTCTCACTGCCTCACAACTTAAATCCCACCTCAGCTCCAATTACCTCTTTTGCCCCTTTCACACCAACGCGTTTTCAGCTCCGGCTCGGAGCTGGAGCCTGAAAAGTACCGTTTTTTCCTGTTCACACTCCGGAATCCGGTTCACTTCCAGCTCCAAAAAATTGTCGGTCTAGAGCAGAGGCAAGAGCTTCGGAGCTAAGAGGCAGTGTCGCTTACGTCTCTCTTACGTCGAGGCGGGGGCAGGTAGATGCTGAAGACCACAAAGAAGTCTTACATTTTGCATGTGATGTTTGTAAAGTTCCAAGTAAAGTCGTCCCTTGTAAAGTCGTCCGATGCCTTCCATTTCGTTTCGTAAGAGGATAATCAAAGTGAACAGCGCTTCAATACAATTGGCCGTTGTTGTTGTCGACGATGTGAGGGATTTCCGCCATGATTTCCGCACGGTTTGGATTTTATGAAGCAGGCACGTAAACGGTGACGTCATGACGCAGCAGCGGCAGCTCTGGGCGGTGTGAACAGAAAAGGGAAACCGGAGCTGAACCAGAAAAGCTCCCGCTCGGAGCTAGAAAGGGAAAAGCGCTGGTGTGAAAGCCGCATTTGAGCCATTTCAATCCGGTTTCCGATCAAAACACAGCACAGAAACAGCTACTGTGCGACTGTGGCTGCGATCGTCTTTCAACCACAAGGTTGTGGGTTCGATCCCAGCCCATGCAGTCAACATGTCGATGTATCCTTGGGCAAGATACTTAACCCTGAGTTGCTCCCGATGGCATGGCCAACGGTGTGTGAATGTTAGGTCCTAGAGCAAGTGGTGCTGCTCTGTATGAATGGGTGTGAATGAGTGAATGACATGTAGTATGTAAAGCGCTTTGAGGGGTCGTAAAGACTGGATAAAGCGCTATATAAGTACAGTCCATTTACCATTTACAGAAACAGCTCTTCTGAAAATCACAAACGACCTCCTCCTCTCATCTGACTCCGGCAACCTGAACATCCTCATCCTCCTCGACCTCACCGCAGCATTCGACACCATCAACCACCATCCTGCTGTCCCTCCTCGAATCATCACTCAACATCAACGACACTGCACTCTCCTGGCTGAAATCCTACCTCACCGACAGACATCAGTTTATCAACATCAACAACTGTACCTCCTCCACTGCTCCTCTGTCCCAAGGCGTCCCCCAGGGTTCGGTGCTTAGCCCCCTCCTCTTCATCCTCTACATGCTCCCCCTTGGCAAAATAATTAGCCGCCACAACCTTCAATTTCACTGCTACGGCATACCATCCAACCTCCTCAATAAACTCCATCATATCCAGAACTCTGCTGCCCGCCTCCTCACCCACATCCGCTCCCGAGACCACATCACTCGCGTCCTCCACCTCCACTGTCCGTCAAATAATCAACTTCAAAGTCCTCCTCATTACTCACAAAGCCCTCAACAATCAGCCCCCCCCCCCCCCTACCTCACAGACCTGCTGCACCACCACACCCCTTCCCGCTGCCTCCGCTCATCAGAAGCCAACCTCCTATCCATGCACCCACATCAATCACCGGACCTGGGGGGACAGAGCATTCTCCGTCGCTGCCCCCTCCCTCTGGAACTCACTCCCACAACCCATCAGAGACTGCACTGTCCTCACCACCACCTTCAAAAAACTCTATTTGACTTTAACTTTAACTATATATTTATTTGTTGTTCCTTTCTTTTCTTTTCACTATATCTGTAAAGCGTATTTGAGCACCTGTAAAAGCGCTAACTAAATAAATATATAATTATATTATTGTTATTATTATTAATAATAATAATAAGCACCGTAACTTTCATGATATAATTTTTCGGTCATAATCGGTTGTTTCCGTGAACGGCCGACTGTTGTGTGACGGCAAATGCCGCGGCTGCAAGGCATTGTGGGGCAGCATTTTCTCCTCTCCTGTCGTCAAGGGAGGTCCAGTGGTTCCTAAGAAAAGGAGGTTATAAAGGAAGTTTGAATGAAACCTCCTTTCCTATCATCTAGAATTCGAACGGCACTTATCATGGCTGCCACTGAGGGATTTCCGGGTCATTTCACTCCGTTAGGAAGGTTCAGAGCCATATAATAGAATATTCTATCTATATGGCGCTGGGAAGGTTCCTAAACTAAATGGACTATTCGACTTCAGCCTGGAGCTTTCTTAAGCACCGCCCAGTTCCGCTGCCCGCAGTGCTGAACCTATCGCACCCGGCAGATTTGAACACGCTGCTGATCGAGAAGACACGGGGCGGAGCTACACCCTGAACCCGGACTGCAGGGGGAAATAAAGAAGGGGGCAAAGCGATCGGACTGAAAGCTTAATCACAGTGGACGAGTTTGATGTTTTCTACGTTAAACAGTTCCATTTAAAGAAGTAAAATGAGACTCAGGTCTCAAACAACCACTACGACATCCTGCTTGGAGCTGCCGAGAAGCACCCGCCGACGGTCCAACAAAGCGAGACAAACCAGTTTATCATGGACCGAAAGCCCTCTGCAAACCAAGGTAACACAGAGCAGTTTGATACGATTTGTATCCTCAGTAATCTACCTTGTTAAAATAACACAAATGTCACCTTGTTAGTTTCTGTATTTAGGGCAGTGTGATGTTCGTTACCCGGACGTTGTTTAGCTTGGTGCTAGCTAGTGTTCTCAAATCATAACAGTAGGTGGTGTTGCTAACGCTAGCTAGCTGCTGTTGTGCTAAAGCTGTGCACTACATGTGATCTACTTTACTTAATCAGGGAAGAACAAATTCATATGCTCTTTGACAAAACACCAGTGTTGTTATAATACATTATTTGTATGTTTGCTAGTTGCGCCCGAAACTGATAAG